AGAGAGATTCATGCCATTCAAATCACTCTAAATAGCAACTCTAAATTCTAAAAAAAATCACGTTTATATATTTTAAATGTTTAGACAGTATTTAATATGGTCAGTGTATTTGTTTTCAATAGATACCATGTTTTATACCGCAGAGCTGTATTTTCTGTATTACGTGCACACATTATGGAATATTGGGGCTCCTTGCATTATTCATATAACCATTACTTTTCTGTCCATTTGATTGGATTTTTAAAAAGGGGCAACATGGTGAAGAAAAGACCAAGGCACAAGGACCCTTGAGTTCCAAACCAGCTATTACCTAGCTGTCAGCTGTGGGGCCTCACAAGGGTCATCTGTCCTCTCTGGTCAATAAGAGGTTACGACTCATGACCTCTGACATTCCTTCAGCTCTAAAATTCTATTCTTTGGAGCTGTGGGCTGGAGTTTTCACACTTTTTAAACTGCATGACTTCTAATTATAACTTTGTTCCTTTAGGAAAATGTAATCTGCTTTACCACTACGTTAGGACAGGATTCACAGATGTTCTTTGTGATGAAATCAAGGATTCGATGCTGCAAATCCCTGCTGGGACTGTGAACTCAAAGGGCAACTCCCTGTTCTTTTTATTGAGAACGCTATTGACTTTAACTCATCACTTAACTGTATTTAGCTCATTAGTTTGCTAGGTAAATGGCAATACTAATCTTAGAAAAGTGAATTTTGATCACAATGCAGCCTTAAATTTGAAAAAATATCACACAACCCACTTTCCACAGCCCCTTTCTGCCCAGGCACAGATATAGCAAAGGTCAAACATTTCTACATGTACATAAAGCTTATGTCTCATTGCAGCTAAATTAGTATAAAATACCAGTTCTAAATATAGAAAAGGATACATATTTATATATTACCACAACCCCAAGGAAGTAACTACAGAAGAGAACTCTGAAGCCAAGAAACTTTTTACAGATTTTATTTATTTATTTTTAGAGAGCGGAGAAGGAAGAGAGAAAGAGAGGGAGAGAAACATCAATGTGTGGTTGCCTCTCGAGTGCCCCCTGCTGGGGACTTGGTCTGCAACCCAGGCACGTGCCCTGACTGGGAAATGAACCAGCAACCCTTTGGTGTGCAGGCCCACGCTCAATCCACTGAGCTACACCAGCCAGGGCAGAAATTTTTATCTCAAATGTATAGCAAAAAAAGTCTTCTCTGGGCAACCTTGCCAGCTAATTTCAACAAGCAGAAGCAGCAAAATCCATACAACTCTCCGTCACACATGTCAGCATGTGGCACAGACACATATGCATGAGCATATATGTGCAGGCACACCCACATGGAGGCACACACGTGTTGACACTCGCAGGCATGCGCACCTGTGTGGGCACACAGAAAGCTGTCCTAACTGTTCTCATTCTTCAGACCTTTGCTACCTCCCCACCTCCTCATGAAGCCTCCGCAGAACACACGCCCCTCTGAGCTCCCTGTCTCTGAAAGTCTGTGGTGTTTTCCGTCTCTACTATATAGTTTAGAAGGTAATTGTTCTCTGTTACTTTAAGTGAGTTTTATTGCCTCAGCTATGTCATAGCGCACCCTCTGTTGTATCCCCAACAGCATCTAATAGAGCCGTGTGCACGGTCAAGGCTTAATCCACATTTGTTGACTAAGTAAACCAGTACCAGCAAGTCTGGATTGGGTTAGTCATCTGAAATAAAGAAAAATGTGTACTCTTGCTCAGTCCCTCTGATATCTCCAGCTCTTTCTCTCTCTCTCTGTGATTTTCAGTATGTACCTTGAAGAAACATTTTCTTACATTAAAAAGTTTTTTAAATACTATCATCATACTTAGAAAATTAATAACTCCATAGTTAAGTTTCCCTCTTTCAAGAACAGCCTAAATTGTTTTAAAGATTTTATTTATTTCTTTTTAGACAGAGAGGAAGGAAGGGAGAAAGAAAGGGAGAGAAATATCAATGCGTGGTTGTGTCTCATGTGCCCCCTACTGGGGACCTGGCCTGCAACCCAGGCATGTGCCCTGACTGGGAATGGAACCGGCAACCTTTTTGTTAGCAGACTGGCACTCAATCCACTGAGCCACACCAACCAGGGCAAGAACAGCCTAAGTTTATAGCTCGCTTGTCTAAAATAGGATTTAACCCATAGTGTTATGCCTTTAAATCTATTTTAATTTCCTTCTTGTCACAGACTTGTTGAAAGGACTAGACCAGTTTTCCCCAGGAGAGTCTCATGTTTTGGATTTGTCTGGTTGCTGGCTTATGGTGTCATTTAACTTGCTCCTCTGTCGCCTGCATTTCCTGCAAATTGGAGGTTACAACTATAATTCCAGTTCAGTATTTTCGACAGCGTACATCATAGACGATGGTGCAGAGTTAAATTGCACTGTACAAGGAGACATACTACCTGGCGACCTAATCACTAAGACTAATCCCTGGGTTAAGATGACGACAGCCTGATCTCTCCAGCTGTCCAGTGATGAACTGAGTGGCATAGTCTGTGTCCTACCACACATTTGTTTTAAAGACTCTTACTGTGGCCCTTTAAGGGTGGTCTCTAACCACCTACATTAGGACACTGTCATTTCCGAAGAGTCACATTTTATGTTGGGATATACCTTTCTGGCTGTGTCATAATTCTTTCTTGGAAGCCCCTACTATCATGTATTAAGTGAATTCACTTAATTAACAGCCATGGTGACTCTCATTCATGTTTAACCTGACATATATTCCTTCTTTGTATTAAGACTTTCTATTCAATATGTTAATAAAATAATAGTGAAAATAAAAGTAACATGATTTCTTTGATTTGTGGACAATCTTGGGCTTGGGGAAAGCAGCCAAGAGCAGCGGTACATCCAGAAGTGAGCACTGAGCTTCCCACCTCCAGGCGGAGTCACCGCCATCGAGGCAAGGTGGCCTGGCCCACTGCAGAGTTAGACATGACCCGGAATGCTCAAAGACGGCTCCAGCGCTTCGGGCAGCAAGAGGAGATCCAGGCAGGCCAGGAGAATGCAGTATCCAAAGGGTATCATAGAAAGGAGATGATAAATTGTGGAGATTAACCCAGGCAGCCTTCTAAACAGCTCTGTGAGAAAGGCACCATCCTCATCCCTGTTATAGATGCAGGTCCTCTTCATCTGCGCAATTCTCCCCTCAGAGAAGTAAAGAGTCAGAAGGATCAGCCTTACTGTGCCTCCAGCAGGACGAACGCTCCTGCACCCAGTGAGGGTGTGTGGCTGCCCCCCAGCAAACCTGCTAAGCATGTGCCTTCGAGAGCAATGTGCATTGCCCAATCTAATGCCCTCAAGGGCGTTCTAATTTTCACAGGGTGCCTTACGGGGGCTTGAAAGGGAAAATCCCACAATGATCTGTCCCTCACGGTATAGGATGTTTCACATCCGTGTCCCCGGGTCCTACGTGACAATCGCATCCCCAGTCATTGTGATAACCAAAACTGCCCTTCTGGACTTTTCCAAACACCAACTAGAAATAGTGTGTGGGTGTGAGTGCATGTGTGCGCACATGTAAAAGGGGTGCAATCACATCTCCCGTTCAGAATGGCTGGTACTGCTGGAGGGTTCAGATGATATTCCAAAGTCAAAATGGGGGCGGTGTAAGAGTGCTGCTCAGGTGCTGGCTCCTGTTCTCACTGCCCTGCCCCTCACTACATACAAGAGGGACATCCTCGGCCTTGGGAGGGGTCGGCTGAGTGGGGGCATCCCAAGTATATGCTCTCTAGGCCTGGCTCAGATGGTGCCTCCGTGCCCCCTAGAGTCTCCATCCTCCTTCCCCGACCTGGTGCACCTCCCTCCACCCTGATGAACATGGTGGGATCTGTTCAAGGGTGTTGGTGAGGATGTGAGGGAAACAGAACCCTTGTGCGTGGTGAGCAGGACCGTGAAATGGTACGGTCACTGTGGGAACCAGTACCGCAGTTCCTTAAAAAGTTAAAAGTAGGAATACAACAAAACACAGCAATTCCACCTCAAGGCATACACTCCAAAGAGTTGAAAGCAGGGACTGGAAGAGATTGTGGTACGCTCTTTCGTAGCATTATTCACAAGTGCTGAAAGGTGGAAGCGACCCAACCCAAGCGTCCACTGACAAATGAGTGCATAAATAAAACACTGTGCGTACACACAATGGAACATCACTCAGCTTTAAAATGCAAAGGAATTCTGGCATGCTACTTCGTGGATAAAACTTGAACACAGTGTGCTCAGTGAAATGTGCCAGTCACCAAAAGAGAAATACTGTACAATTCCAATCACCTTAGATGCCCAAAGTAGTCTAGTTATGAGATTCCAAGTAGACAGCTGGTTGCCAGAGCAGCTGGAGGGAAGTGGGAAGAGTTCGGGTCTGATGGCGGGGAGACGGGAGTTCTGTGGACGGATGGTGGTGACGGTCGTACAGTGCTTTGCCACTGAGCTGACACTTAAAAGTAGTTAACATGATAGGTTTATGCCATGTGTATTTGATCACCACTCAACTTTTTAAAAAATAAAATGAAATGTCGAATAGTAAAAAAAAAAAGTCAGAGTAAAAAAAAAGTATCAAGTAACAACCAACAAGTATGTGAGGGAGTAGAAACACTTTCAAACAGAGTAATTCAAATTCCAGGTCTCCGCCTGGTGTACCACACAGAGCCTTATGCTCCAGTGCGAGAGAGACCAGGGAGAATTTACATGGGGCCATCGGAGTCATGGTAAATCAACACAACAGACATTATGCAATCTTAAAAATTGTACTTCAAGACTGTGTAACCTCATGGAGAAATGTTGCTAATGTGATGTTTTGAGAAAACAGAAAAATACACAATTGCAAGGTAAAACGGAAGTGTAAAAAATTATGTGCGCATATAGGCAAAGGCTACAAGGGAAAAGGCAAAATAAAAGTAGTTCTTTCTTTAGAGCAGATTTATTGTGGGTTTTTTTCTGCTTTAAAATACACCTTTACATTGTTAGGATAATATCTATACAACAAATAAGAAGATACTAAATTCGAGTGGAGTAAAACAGAATTCCCTCCCAGGAAAGGAGTCGCTCCAAAGGTACAAGATCACAATACCCGATGGAAGAATCACTCTGTTTCCAGTCTCACTACAGTGGGCAGATGCAGACGGTTGGTGAGAAAGGACAGCGAAGGCTGTGTTGGGCTTGCCTGGCCACCCCACACCGTGTCCTCCTGTTTTGATCGCTCCAGTTACATCCCCAAGTGACACTTGGTCCTGGAGATCTTTGCGTTTATGACTTTTCCCCAAAAGCTGCAACTGCTTGAGGACAACCGATTTCAGCCACTTTTACAATGCCTAGCGAACACAGTGCTGGGTTACTACCTGAGTCTCTCGCTAGATACATGCTGATTAAAAAAAGCCAGCTGAGACCGACTCTGACTGCCCGCTATTACTTTTTGCTAATTAATGCATCGAATAATGCTGGTGTGTGAGTTACATCACAGAGACATGCACCAGAAAGCAAACCCACAGGAGTTCACAGGCAGGGCAAACATCGGTAAGGCCCGTGCACCAGGGCTTCACGTCTGGCACGTGAAGCCTCAGCTGGAGGGACAACAGAACCCCCTGTAAGTGTGGCTTGGTGTTGATGACATGCTTCGCTGTGTTGCGGTTCATCGTGTCCCTGGAAAGCCCAACACGTCCAGACGAGAGAAGCCTGTGGCTGCTGCCACTCTGGGCTCCGGCAGTGCAGCAGATTTCAAGGATTCCTCTGTGCTACCAAGGGGGAGCCTCCGGGCTCCCAATTTGCAATCAAGTCCTTGTTTCCCACATAGCCATCAGCTTCAGTAGATGGGGGAGTTAGCTGGGAAGCTTCATATCCCTTCCCTTACGGTGGGGAACACAGAACAAATACAGCATCAGTAAACTTCAGGTGTGAATTTCAACTGCTGTAAAGATAACATCCCTAAGATTTCCCTGCGCTCCCCAGCAGCGGCTGTAGAAACAGCCCTGTGGTTCCAAACACACAGACGGCGATGAAGATCCAAAGAAACACTCTGTCCACCACCATGGCCACGTATTTCCAGTCATCTTCTACCTGAAAGGCAAGCAGAAAGTCAAATCAACTTTAAAAATTCAAAACTATAGGAAATATGCTCTGTTTCATCAATAAGCTTCTTCCTTTTCAGAGAAGATGTTCCCAGAACTTCATAGACATGGCCAGATCTTCAGAGCAAATGCACAGAAGGCTTTTGTTTTGTCTGAGGAGGGCAGATACAGGCTACTCACTAGCGCCTCCTGCAGCCAACTGCAGAAAGTGCATATCTCAATAAGCCAGGATTCCATGGGTCTCAAAGGACTTCCCTGACCACAAGAAGCACTCCCAAGAAGCAGCTGCTCAGACAGTGCTGTTCTTGTCATTGGCACAAGTGGATACCTCACCCCTTGGCAGGTCTGGGAAGAGGTTTAAGGGCAAGGAGTGTAGGGCATGCAGCATGATGGAGGACCCCCTTATTAGGAACAGGCAGCCCTCTGGACCTCGAGGTCAAGCTGGCTATGGAGAGTTCACTGCATTTCCCACGTCCTTCCAGTCTTTGACCTCCTAATTTCTGGCACATGTGGCCCTAATTTCTGCGGAAGGCTCCCTGGTTATGTCTTGAGAGCCCTACCTGGTTGTGATTAAGTCAGCAGCAAGTCTCCCTCAGATTTTATGAAGGCGTCACCATGAAGGGGAGTTCTGGGCTCACTTGTCCTGTGATGCACCCCTCCCCTCACCTGAGTGACATGCAGTCACAGTGTCTTCCCCTGTACCAACAGGGCAGACTTGAGGCCTGGAGACATCCTTCCACTAGGAGACCCCGATGCTGCTAACTGCAGCATCAGGTCAAAAGCAGATGCCCGGCATGAATTTTCAGATGCCCTCAGCCAGTCATCCTTATGGTTTGGAAAGCTGGTGTGATTTTTCTGGAGCTCTCTCTTCCTCAAAGATGGAGAAGGTCCATGCTACTATGGTTACACTCTGGGCAGCAGGAGCAGAGTATGTAGATGCTAAAAATATCCCTGAGGCTCATTCAGCCAGCGCCTCCATCCCCCTGAGGTAGAACAGACAGGACTAGAGCCACAGAGGACTGGCTCCGCCTTCCTCCCACTGCCCTAGATTGCAAGCTGCTCCGCAGTCATTTCTCCTTCCCCTCTGGGGGCAGCTTTCCCACCTCCACCCCGTCTGCCACGGTTCCTTGTGCAGGAGCTCTTGGTTTTATTAACCAAGGTTGCCTTGAATGTTTATTTTAACCAGACTTCACTTGAGTGAACGTTGCTGGAGGTGAAGATTTGCTCTGGGGCTACCTGACCCCAGGTCAGCCCACCCACAAGGGCACAATAACAGACCTGGGTCTTAGAGTGATGCTGCCCGACCCTCTTGTGAACAGAACTTACTCTGAACATCTGACCACGTCTGTGAAGTGGCCCTAGGCCTGCTGCCAGTGGACAGGCTAGAGGAGACATGTGCTTACCTCCTTCGTTTCGTTTTGGTTCTTCATGTTTTCTGCTATGAATTGAACACTATTAATCACATCTTCGACTTCAGGTGAGTGCTCCGAATTTTCCGTCACCCACTGTAAAGGCTGATGACTTAGCCTTCTCTTGCTGGTCGCAAGCCGATGTGATTTATGGCAGTGGCAGCATTCTTTAAGGAGTCTGGGCTCTCTGTGATTACCCAACTTGACTTTGGTAGGCCTACTGGAAATGCTTTTGGGGTTTTTATCAGAACTGGTCTTCCTTGTCTTGTCCAGAGGCCTCCTCATCATCAGGATCTGGGGTAACCGCTGGAGGAAAACCGTCTTCACCCACTTGGGCATGGTGTGAGTTGTCGGGGTGCGATAGTGTATGTTCAACACAAACACAGTCACCACGATGGACAGTGTGACAAAGATCATGGTGAACAGTAGGTACTCACCCACCAGTGGGATCACGAGCGATGTGGATGGAATGGTTTCTGTGATGACCAGCAAAAACACAGTCAGAGAAAGCAGAACTGAAATGCAAAGTGTCACTTTTTCGCCACAGTCAGAAGGAAGGTAGAAGACCAACACGGTTAGGAATGAAATAAAGAGACAGGGGATAATCAGATTAATGGTGTAAAACATCGGCAACCTCCTAATGTAAAACGAATAGGTTATATCTGTGTATATCTCTTCACAACAGTTGTATTTTATGTCGTGCTTATAGCCTGAAGCATCAACAATTTCCCATTCACTGTTTTCCCAAAAATCATTCATGTCCACTTTAGATCCAATGATGAGGAGATCGATTTTAGCTTTGTCATAGGTCCAGGAACCAAATTTCAGGGAACAATTTTGATGATCAAAAGGGAAAAAAGTGATGTCCATAGGACAGGAACTCTTAAAAATGGCTGGTGGAGTCCAGGTAATGGTGCCATCGTATTTCAGAAGAGCTTTTGTCTTGCCTTCGACTTGGAAGTCGCCCACAGCACTGCAAGGGAAATCAGACACCATTAGTAACACCTTCTTCACCATGGGTCACATTGCACCAAAGGCAGCTTTGGAAAGAGACTGCTGCTGTCAGACTCCCGTACTTGTTATAGAGAACAATGTCGGGCTTCCAGATCTTATCTGCAGGAACTCGAAGAGTCTCAATGCCATCAAACTCCATTGGGTCCCAGCGCAATTTATAATCATTCCAGATCTAAAGGAGATAGAGGTCAGCTTTTAAAAACTCTCTTTATAAATTTCTGCCAGTGTTAGCTCTATATTTGTTTAGCAGGCTTTTTTTTAAAAGTTAAGTTCTTAATTGAAGAGTGCATTGAGTTTTACCAAAAGTTGGGAGATTAAATCCACGGGGAATAGGGTCATAGGTAGCTGAGGTGATTTTAGAAATATACAAATTACCTAATGCATATTAGATACTTATCTAATGATTATTCATTAGCTGGCCAAAGTCATAGGCACAACTTCCATGTTCCATGTGCTATATTCACATCGGAGTAGCAACTCATTTCTAATATTAAAAAGGCTGTTTGCAATGATGAGTTTGCAATGATGAGTTTGTTACAAAATCTAAGTAAAGATTAAGACCAAAAAAAAGGCAAGAAGAAAGGTAAAGGGTATCACATAAAACCAGCTGGTGGAACTCGAACTCACATGCTCTCTTGTTCAGCTGCTGATTTCTCCAGGCCTAGTTCAGCAGCATCAAAGAGAGCACACACCCCTGATCCTGAAGCTCAAGTTACAGAGGAAAATAGAACCTTCGAGAGCAGACACCAGAGAGGACAGAGTCTCTATGTCTCAGAGGGCTTTGTCACTAGGTATCTGCACCAGTAAAGCTTGCATCAAGCCAGCTGTTACCAAAGCTGAACTTCGAGCTTTGGAGAGAGATCGTGTTCTATGTTCTGTCATAAGCTGGAGTTGGAAAGAGGGGACATTAGAGGACTTTATCCATTGGGCATTGCCAGGCTGACACACGAATAACACAGGTCCAAGAGGACATGTGATGGAGACACATACGTGACGTAGCCACAGATTGGTTTCCATGATCTGGTTTACTTCATCCTGAGAAGAAGAAACAACATTTTTTAGCCCGAAATGCATTGCTAATAGAGGTGGATCACAAAGTGAGAATTACCACTGAAAGGAGCTGAACCTGAGTTATTCATGCTAACAGAGGGAGACAGAGAGGACTGAAAAGGCAACCTATAACATGCAGCCAGATATATGATATTCCACATCTGGCCTCAACCCTGTTGACTTTGAAAGAAAATGTGGCTTAAAGACTGTCTTTCAAATGTGATTTAAGCCTCATCACTTCTGTGAAGCCTTTCTGAGCACTGCAGCCCATAAGGCTTCCTGAGTCCAGGAAAGGAAAGAAGAAGAGAGTGTGGGAAGGAGGGAGGGGAAATGCCGCAGATGGTGATAGGTATCTGAACCTGGTTCATTGTTTTTCAGTCTTCTTTTCCATTTCCTGAAAACCTCCCTCCCTGAACACCACCACAGCCCTCCAGGCTCTGTGTCCTAGGCCCAGCTGCCCCTCGACATGTCAGCCTCAGCTCACCACGGAGTTTTCCAGCTGGAACCTGCCACTCCCCCACGGCACATCCCTACTCCCACCCAAGCCGCTGCTGATTGCTCCAATCATTCATTACACGAATATTCACTGAGTACCTACTATGTGCTCTATAAATGTTGTGACTACAGCGGTAAACAAGATGGAAGAAAACCCTTACCTTCATGTGTCTTGGCTGTTATTGGAGAGACAGAAAATCAACATAGATACATAATATAATTAAGATAGTGATAGGCCCTATGAAGAAAAATAAAGAGGGATGGAGTGTTGTGTGTGTGTGTAAACATACACATGCACGTGTGCACACACACACATCTATTTTAGACAGGATGAACGAAGAAGGCTTCTCTGAGGAAGTGGTTTAAGCAGGTACCTAAACGACCTGAAGACAGACAAGGAGTTATCATTGGAGAAAAGCACTGCAGGCTTATTATATTCCAAGTATAATGTGCTCATAACCAGCTACCAGCTCTCAGTGGGAAAGCTAATGAAGACACACCCAGAGCCTTCAGCAGCCTTACAACACAACAGCTGAGGTTTACTGATGGTGACCCAGTAGGTTCCCACAACTTACCAACCTTGTTTCCCAAGGCACGTGAGCATCCTCCAGAGTAAGCAAGCTCAACGTGGCTGCAAATGCTGCAGCCAGACCTCAGATGCCAGCCTGCTGTAGTTCACAGAGCTGCATGGCAGTCCTCCAGCTCCCCTGGAAAACTCTAACTGGAGACCTTGTCAAGCATCCTTCTACAAATGGGCTTGTGTCAGGTCATGGCAAGCCTTAGGATTTTAAAAGGTCAACTAAAGGAGTTACAGTCATGGTTGCCTATTGGTCAGGGAAAGCAAAGAAGTGGACTATCCATTAGCCAAGCAGTCCATGGTTGTACAATTACCCAAATCTAAGGTTTGTGCCCTCTGCTCATAGGCCACCTTGTGACCTACAGAGGTTGGCAGAGACCATGTCAATAAATCTATTGGCTGTCAGTCCAAAAATGGACTAGCTCTGCAGTCCAGAAAGGTCTCAGAGGTAACTGCCATAAGCATCTTCCAAAGACCACTTCCTCTCCATACATTAGTACAGAGAATTGCGATCAGGTGTTTATACTGCCCTGCTGTCATCCCTGTCTTCCCACCTACCCTTCCACAGGCTGGTGAAGCTTTGCAGATGTGGACAGCCTCAGAGGTGGGAGCCAACTTTATGTATCAGGACTTGGTCTTGCAAGCCCTGTTCCACATCCAGTTCAAGACCACACCAAGGCTATGGGCACTGTCATCACACAGTCCAGCCCGAGGAGGTCAGAGACCCACAATACCACTTCACAGTCCTGGGACCATTACCCGGAATCTTTCTTGGGAAAAGAAATTAGATGATACCCCACTTGCATTAAAGAATTGAGTTACAGTTTCAAATGAATTAGCTTTGAGAGCAGCAGAGAGTTCAGGTGTGCTCCATTTAACAAACCTTTGTCATTTTAGATATGTCAGGCCATCAAAAGCACTGGACAGGGGCTTTGTCCTAGATTCCTGTGGCTCAGGGTGGGCGGGCGGGGGGGACAGTAAACATGCTCCTACACTGAAAGATCATCCACCCAGGAAACTGTGCGGCCAAGGTCATTCTGTACAGCAGCAAACAAACCTCCATGTAGAAATCTCTGGTGCTGTAAGGCCAACCTGGAGGCTGATACAGCAACAGAGGGCCTAGAACCTTCTAGAAGGGAGTTGGTGATTGTGCAATCTGGCTGTACTGTATCACAGAGCCTTCCCTGGAGCTCACCATGGCTCAGTGACAATAATGAATATGGTCTACCAGGACTTCTGGTGCCTCACATGACAACAGATAGCTTTCAACACATCCATAATAATGGCTACATTAATATGTGACAGAGTAGGCTGAAGTCTTATTTTTGAAAAGAAAAAAATTACTAAAGACAAAGAAGCACAGTATATAATGGTAGAAGGATTAGTCCACCAAGAAGAATTGATGATCCTAACTGTACACACATCAAACCATAGGGTCTCAAAATACATGAAATGAAAACTGATAGAGCTGAAAGAAGAAACAAATCCCCAGTTATAGCTGGAGACTTCAATCCCCGCTCCCAGCAACCACTAGAACTACTAGACAGAAAATCAGCAAAAATGTAGATGTGAAAACATAATCAACCATAAGATTTAATTGGCATATATAGAACACTCTACTCAAAAGAACATTTTTACCTATCATGTGCCATAATACAGCCCTCAACAAATGTAAAATAATTGAAATCATGCAGTGTGTGTTCCGACCATAATGGAATCAAACTAAAAAACAATAACAATCACATCTTGGCCTTTTGGCTAAGATCAAGTATAGAAATCAGTAGCAAAAAGACATAGGAAAAATCTCTAAACCCATATAAATTAAACAACTCACTTTTAAATAATCCATGGATCAAAGAGGATGTCTCAAAGGAAATTTTTTAAAAATACATTAAAATGAATAAAAATAAAAACACAACATATCAAAATATAAGTGAAATAACTAAAAACAATACTGAGAAGAAAATTAAAAGCATTAGCCCTGGCTGGTGTGACTCAGTGGACTGAGCAACAGCCTGTGAACCAAGAGGCTACCAGTTCTATTCCCAGTGAGGGCACATGCCTGGGTTACAGGCCAGGTCCCCAGGTGAGGGCATGCAAGAGGCAACTGATTGACGTATCTCTCACACATTGATGTTTGTTTTCCTCTCTTTCTTCGCACAAAATAAACCCAAGGCAAGCATAAGGAAGGATAAAATAAAGATAAGAGCAGAAATCAATAAAATTAAAATGCAAAACAATAGAGAAAATCAATGAAACAAAAATCTGATTCTTTGCAGAGAAAAACAAAATTGATAAACATCTAGCAAGACTGACAAAAATAGAAAGAGAGAAGACACAAATCACCAATATTAGGAATAAACTAGGAGGTACCACTACAGATCTTGTAGCCATTAAAAAGAATAGAGAATACACTCCTAAACATAATTTTATCATACATTCTCAAAAGAAAGACCAATTCCTCAAAAGCCACAAACTATCCAAATTCAAAGAAGATGAAATAGACAATCTGAATAGCCTATCGCTATAAAGGAATGAATTTATAGCTTACAAGCTCCTGGAAAAGAAACCTGCAGTCCCAGTGGGTTTCCCTGGAGAATTCTACCAAATATATAAAAAAGAATTAATACCTTAGACCATGAGGCAACACCGAGGGAGGAAACCACATGCTAAGGATGGTGAAATGGAAAGATAGGAAGGACCCTGGTCAGTGGCACCATGTATGGTTTATGCTTTAGCATCACAGGCCATGTGACTGACACCCCTGCCGCTGTGCAGTGCACGACCAGGCAACCGCTGACACCACAAAGCCACCTGGTGCTAATCTCCTGGACTGTTAATCTTTAGATTCCTGTTACATAAGAAAGAAATAGACTTGTTTTACTGGAGTTGTGGTTTTTTGTTACATCTCTGATAGCAGCCAAATGCAAAGGTCAAAATCTCTGTTCAGCAGTCCCCCACCCACCATCTTCAGAACAATGTCCTGAGAGGGCCCATCGACCAGGGATTTGAAGTGATGCTATAGACTGAGGTGGCCCGCCTCACAGGCTTTAGGTGAAACTCAGTTCATCTTTCCATTCATAACAGCCCCATCCACACAAACATGGCCTCCAGCCCAACAGGTGACCTGCACTAAGCTATTGGGTGGGGGGCACGGGAAGTAGGGGAGAGGGATCAGGATTGGTGCTAAATAACAATTTATTAAAGGAATGAGTGCGTCCATCCAGGTCAAAGTTGACATCATTTTTCTTTCTTTCTTGTAAACCAGTAACCCACACTTCCAAGCTGGGCCAGAAGATAAAGGACCAAGCCACGGTCAGCCCAGTCCACAGGGAAGCGTGGATTAGAGGAACATGGTGGGCCCTGACTTCCCATCTGTGATTACAGTCTTTCCCCCGTCATGCCTAGAGAGACACCACTGTCCCACCCAGGACAAAGTGTATGAGGAAGCGGGCCTCCTGCCCCATCCACAGGCCTGCACTGATAGGATGAAAGCGCTCCCTCCTCCTGTGCACTGCTGTCTCAAGAACTCTCCCTAGCACCCCTCTCTGGAGATGCTTCCAGCTTTCCTTCCTTCCTGAGCCTGCCTATTCCTGGAATTTGGTACAAATCCTGAGCCTCAAACCAGATCTACCTGCTCCCATGCCTTGGGGCCCAAAAGCCTCCTCTATGTTAGAGTATTAAGTCCCAATACCTCCTTTCCCAGCAAGTAGGGCATGAAGATTAAATAAAAGAAAGCACTCTAGTCCTATTTGCCCTTGAACATGGTAGCAATAAGTTAAAATAAGAACTCCAAACTCCCATCTGTTTTTCCAGATCTGGGTGGAACACTATAAGAAAGATGATTCTTTTCTTTCTTATGTAACATGGAAGTCTTAAAATAATTTTTTATGTAGTAAAGACAGCATGAGTTTTGGTGTTAAACAGGGCTGATTCAAATCACAGTTCCACCATCTGTAATTGTGTGACCTTGGGGAAAAGCTGCTTAACTGAGCTTCTGGCTCCTCTGTTGTGAAATGCAGCAGAAAACCACAAGTGCAGGCACAGCACCTGGTGCATAATGGGGCACAATGATGTCAGCTCCCATTGTGTTCTCCCTTCAACTCCCCCTTCGCCGCCTTGTCTCATCAGCTGGTTCTGAAAGCATCAGTGGGAAAGTGTCTCCCTTCCAATGGGATGGCTTTGAAAGGCCAGCAGCCGTGTGGATTTGTGTCTGTTCATATGTTTCCAATCCCCGTAGCTACCATGTGCAATAAGAGGAACAATGTTTGGGACTGCTCTGATCTCTCAGAGTCAGGACTCCTTGAGGTACGTGTGGTGAACGTGAGGCACTTACCACATTGGCCAGTTGTGTGATGGCCACTTCAAAATACACCGTGATGGGATCCGAAACATTTTCTACAGGCCTGATGAACTGGTTGTAACGAGAAAACAGTTTGTGGAAGAGTCTCTCCTCAGACGCACAGCCTGCACCGTCTGTGTGGCCAGACAGAGGGGAGAATTAGGGAAGCAGAGAGGGGGCTGACCAGTGGGCAGTTTCCAGCGGCTTCCACACTGGGCCATATGGCCACTGGGGAGTCCAGGATAAAAGCCGCAGCACTGACGTCTCAGGACTAGCGTGATATCAAATCGAAGAGTGTTAGTAAAAGCGCTTTGAGAAGGCTGAGGCACACAGAGGTAAAGAGACACTAGCTCCAACGTTTGCTCATGTCACAGAATGTAACTCACCATCTTATTCACCCAGTAATTACGGTAAAGGAACGCCCTGCCCTTTCTTGTCAAAACACTGATCTGACTGGCCTGTCTCTTGGCCTAGTGAGGTGTTTGGCTGGGGAGCCTTCACAAGCAAACTGAAATAAGAAGGAACTTTATTAAGGTCTTAACAAGCCGCATTCCTTTTAAAAATCAACTTTGAATTCCATTATTTTGGAAATTTGTGAGAGTGCAAGGCTTTTAAGGCAAAATTACTTAAATTGTTTTTTAAAGAATTCAAAATTGTTCTTAAATAATAGTATATTCACTTCCTTAATTTTAGACAGTAGCTTGACGCCTATCTCTCTGTATTTTTCTAAGAATGCATTAAAAGTAGGTTACTTGCCTTCATTTGGCATAATTCATTTCATTAATAACCCCCTCTAGGTCTTCCCTTATAGAATTCAAATTTGACACCTGGAATATTATTCTACCGATTTCCCAAGGGGATTTATATCCTGAAAAAAATTAAAGAAAGAAACTGAAAATCTCATTAGATGAAAATGAACAAAAGGACAGGTGTTATATTATTAAATAAAAAATATTGTTTGACAAATGCATTTGGAAACACTGACATTTCATCAAGAAAGAACAATTTTAAATGTAAAACATCATTCTTGCCATCATAATCAGTAATGGTAGAAATATTTCTACATAAAGCAGGCAATTAAAAAATCCTCCCCATTAGCCATCTCCCTCCACTTTGAGACTTTTTATCCCGAGACATTTTTTTGAGACATGTTTTTCCTTTGAGACATGTTAGAGAAACCCTCCGTGAGCCCCCGCAAAGCTGACAGCACGTGGAAATGTGGTTTTGCTCAGGCAGAGCGCAAATCTCAACTTTTAACATGATGGATCTTACTCTCAGGGCACATTTCAGCATAGTGATGTATGACATGTTTCCCAAAACAAAGATGATTAACTACAAACTGGAAAAGTTCATACTTTGAGTAATAGTATCAGCTAACAAATCAGTTTTGAAGAAAAATATTAAATACAAATACAAGTGAATAAGTTGAATTTATCCATGGCAGAGGTGGGTAGAAAACTGCATCATTATTATTACCATATTTTAATTGGGAAAATAATATAAAATAGGGTTAGCACTATTTTATTGTCCTCCCTATCCCACCTCCTCAAATCCCTTCTTACACATTAAGCCCAGCCAATACAAAATAGATTAACAGCTGTAACAATAGTAATTCCCGTGCAGACATTCTGCATATTTACCCTTAGAATGTCTCATCTCTCTGCCTCATCAAGCACAACTAGAAAAGAAGGGTAAATATATGTAACTCAAAAGGGATGAGGAGATAAAGCAGAAACAAAACCTACCTTTAAAGAAAGGTATGAATACACACAACCAGAGGCACACACCCAAGCGAAGGCATCCCAGACCCTTGCTAGTCAGCATGACTAAAACACACTCTCACTGCTTTTTCTAGTCAAAGGTCTGTGAAACACAGAGAGCTAGCAGACAGCCCCACGCACCGGACCTTTACATCTTCAGAGTCCCACATAATCCATGCGAGTCTTCTGCAAAATAAAAACATTCACAGGCATAACAAGGTGGTTCTCAGTATCAGAGACCGAGGCCAAGGAAACGGACAAATAGAAAGGACTCAGTCTGCTGTCAGATGAGTCATCACATTTCCTGTCATCCTAGATCTCTTTTCATGCAAGAACAGTGAAGAGGAGCAGTGAGGGAGGGCGAGGCAGGCAGGACGAGGGAGGACATAAAACATCGCCCTGGCTCAGTGGATCTTTCCGTAGCGCACTCTCAACCCTAATCCTGAGGGGAATACACACACATTTCCTGGGCTCCAGCGACAGGTGCAGTGTGTGCTGGGCCCCAAACACTGTATTCCGATTCACTGCGCTCTCTAGTTAATCAAGGCTTAACCCTGTTAGAAAACTTTCTAAAACATGAGTTACATTTCTGCCTTAATAAGAGTAGCTTATAGAATTAATTTGGTTTTGTCTGACTGCAGGGCTTCTAGTTTAGTGAGCACCAACCGGGATCCAGGACTAGAGATTAGATGTCTGAGAAATGATACTGAATGCAGGGTGCCAGCTGGATAATTCTGTTTGTTTAAACACCCTTGTCATCACACACACACACACACACACACACACACACACACAGCCATTAGTAAGAAGGAAATCCTGCTATTTGAGAAAATATGGGTGAAGCCCTGGCTGGTGTCACTCAGTGGATTGAGTTCCCGCCTGTGAACCAAAGGGTCGCCAGTTCAATCCCCAGTCAGGGCATGTGCCTGGGTCTCGGGCCAGGTCCCCAGTAGTGTGTGCCTGAGAGGCAACCACACATTGATGTTTCTCTCCCTCTCTTTCTCCTTCCCTCCCCCGTCTCTAAAAATAAATAAATAAAATCTTAAAAAAATAAAAATAAAATAATAAAAAGGTAAAAATGAATTACATTTAAAAAAGAAAATATGGCTGAAACTAGAGAACTTTATACTATGTGAAATAAACAAGACAGAGAAAAACAAACATTGTGTGGTCTCACTTATAGGTGGAATCTAAAACAGCCAAGCTCAGAGAAGCAGAGAACGGTTGCTCAGAGCTGGGGGACGGGAATAATGGGGAGATGTTGGTGAGAGAGTATAACTTCCGCTCACCAGATGAACACGTTCTGGTGATCGTTATAACGTACAGTACGATGACTACTGTACACTTGAAATTTGCTGAGAGAATAGATCTTAAGTGTTTCCACCGCATACACATACAGAGAGATGACAACTAAGTGAGGTGATAGATCTATTAATTAGCCACAATGTAGATATATATCAAATCATCACGTTATACACCTTAAATATATGCAATTTTATTTGTCAGTTATACCTCCGTAAAGCTGGGGGAAGACAAAAGGAGTTAGCCCTGAGGATGACCCTCGGGCCCTCCCATCCAAACAATCTGTGGCATTGTCACAGCTACAGCATCGTGTGCCATCGTACAGAGCTCAGACTAATGACTTCCCTCAAAATGCTGTTAGCCTCATGCCTCTCGAGGAAACGAAAAAGGAACCAGCATTTTTTCAGCAGCACATTTAGGTCAGGCACGGGGCTGTGTGACTCAGCTGTGTCACCCTCAGGTACTCAAGTTCTCTTCTCAGCAGATGAGCCTTCGTCCTTGGCCAAAGTATCCTGTGGAGTGTCCAGAGAACCTAAGGTGATAAAGAGGAAAATTCTGGACAACACTTTACCATGGGGGTTAAAATGCCACCTCACACTCCCAAATCGGCGATGCCTCACTAGTTTTTAGAATAAAACCCAAATCAAGTTGGCCATTTTCCAAATCACCAACACCACCCTCAACCATTTCTATGCTCAGGCTTCAGTTTCTCTGTTCTTCATACTTTCTAATAGACGTATGCAGCCATCTTGCAAGAAAGCTGTTGTTTCTTATCTCTGTTTTGTCAGAATTCCCTCTCTATAGCTATCATTTGTCAGCTTAAAGAATGAATGACTCTAGAGGAGGTATCTTCTGGAATGTGCCCCAAATCAGCCCTTACTTTTGTCAATGTGAGAAACACCCAAACCTGTAAGAACTTTTCTATGAGTTTATTGGAGTCAAACTGACAACAATTTCCAGGGAGCGAAACCTCACCAGATGGAGGAAACGCTCTGGAGAATGGCAGTTGTGCACCCTGCTTCACACGTCACAGTCAGAGAGGGGACGCAAGTGAGTTACACGAAATACACTGGTGATAGGTTAGGGGTGCAGGAGAAAGCAAAGCAGGCAAACTTCTAGGACTGGATAAAAACGAGTATGATGGGCACAGGCTTCTTTTACATAAGTGGGCACAGGATAGTTAACAGTCAGCAAATAACTCAGTAACAACGAGGGGATTTGTGTTCTCCCTCTGGTGCGGTATCTGTGCTTTGAGGGGTCCAGAAAAGGGAAATGACTTTGACATTCCAAAGGCATGTTATTGTAGATATAAAAAGATAATAGACAGGCTTCATTAAGGTAAAAATCAACTTTTGTCAGGGAAGAGTCTAGCCTAGGATATAACTACTTGCCATAAACTGCTTTTAGTTAGTAAGTTTTAATTTTAGACCATCCTCTGTGGTTACTGTAGGTCTCTGAGTTAATAAGGCCGCCACACAGGCCTCCCCCGAGCTTGTCAGGTTCGGCATGTGACCCCGTTTCCTGCACGCTGTCTCCTAGGAACCTGCTAACTCTCCCCGGAGAGCCGAGGTGCAGAGCATGGGGGCAGGTGGACTCTATGAGCGGAGTTCACAGAGCAGCTTCACTGCAGGCGAAGGACACAGAGGAAAGAATATGGACTTTTGTGTCAGACGGACCTGGATTTGAATTCTGGTCCTGATACGCACTTGGGGGACATTGGATAAGTTGCTTGAGCTCCCTTGCCTTCTCCTTATCAGAAAAATGTGATTAAATTCAATAACATAAATCATTTCATCTCTCCCTGCCCACTTTTCACTCACTCCCTTGCCACTCTGAATAGGTAACACAAGCAGCTCTCAGGACCTGAACTTGTAGGAAGCATATATTTTAAATGCTAGTAAAAAAAATACATTCTCTCATTCAATTAAAACATTTAAACTACCCCTTCATCATCAGAAAGAATGCTTGAGTTTTATAATTGAATTATAGGTTTATATCCTGCTTTAAATCTTTTTTGAAAATTGCAGAGATAGAAATTAAAACCAAGTATACAGAAAAATAATCACACTTTCAGAAAATGTTAATTCAAGAAACAAAAGAGTTAGGACTCCTTTTCCTGATATTGCTGGATAATTTCATGTTCCTATTCTGGTGATTAGTTTTTCAGGGTGTTGTTGAACCAGCTGAGACTTACTGTGACTCTTGGTTTATGGAGGCAGGAAGGTTGACGGAATATGAGGGGTTAATCAACATCGATTTCTCCTTCCCCTTCTCTACCCCTCCCACCACACCCCTCACCCCATGCTTTTGACCTCCTCATTCCTCTTTGCCAGTTCCAAAAGGATCTTAATTTTTTTCCAAGGCCATGAATCCGATGAAAACCATGGGTCTGATGCCTCTCCCCAGGCCCATATGCATGTCAAACAAAACTTGGCCTATGATGCCTGGGCATTCCCAGACCCGTGGAAGGTAGCCCTGGGTGGAAAGGAACCTCACCTGGCTCCTTAGATTTCCCAGCACCTGTCCACAGTCACCCCTCACCATCCCTTTTTAGAATAACACACTCTAAAGACCTACCATGTCCGGAAATGGATAGGCTTCAGAGAATAAATGTTGGGTCCCTTTCTTGTTTTTGTTCATAGAGGTTAATTTCCATTTGGAGGTTTTCTAAAGGAAAAAAGTGATGCTGTTTGATGTGAAACTTCTTGTCATTAATATTATTTCAGGCTCCCTCCTCCCTCCCCACCCCTTGCTCAATCACATCCTCACTCCACTCTAAAAATAAGAGAGACTATTTGCTGTGGTTACATAAAATGGTTCCTATTTGAAGTTTGAGGGATTTGGGCATAAAAACTGCATGAATGAACATTTCGTTGACCTTTTTCCAACTGTCAGTTCTCTTTAAACTCAAATAAGAATACTCTTTAGTTGTCCCTCAAGAAATGTAAAGGAAATAACCCTTTAAACATGTATTATTTATAAATCCACTGCAGCAAAAACATCATCAATAATTCAACGATCCCATATGCTTGGCCTGTTTTTTTAAGCCTCTGTCATTAAAACTCTCACATGTTCAATATCCCTAGTCAGTAGTACTCCTCACCCACCCCCGTTGGCATTTCCCATGCAGGAAAAATATAATAGCAGCAGGGTAAGCATTCAAATTAAACACCAATTTTATACCACAAAGAAACATTTAATCAATAGCTAAAGGCTAAAATTAACCCTAGAGTGCCTACACTTTGTCCACCTAAATTTTAAGGAACAGGGAAAGCCTTAGAACCTGGGGTAAAGCAGTAAAAGACAGTGAAAACCATGTTGAAATGTTCAGACATGGAATAATAATTAGAGCTATCTCTCAGCATTTCCTGACCTGAACTCTAACCCTAACCCTAACCTTAACCACGAAAAGCCCTTTACATCCTCTCTTCCTCGCCTCACAGCAACCCCAGGATGTGAGACTCAGTTTGTAAGTGACAACGCTGGCATTCTGGCAAGGTAAGTAACTTGCTCTGAGATTCAGATCCATTGGAGCTGTTAAACGGCTGAGTTAGGATTCCAGACTAGGTCTGTCTGAATCTAAAGTCAATGCTTTAACCTTAAAGCTATACTCAAGTGCTTTTAGACCCATGAATATTTTATAAGTTCAATATATTTTTAGAGGCTGTTATCGAAATGGGCCACGGTGAGTACTGACTTTGTTGTCATTTGCCATGGACCCCTCATAGGAGCTGAGGAAACCAAGACTCATCTGTAAAGGGAGTTGAAATGGTGGATGGAATGGCAGACAGAAGTGAAAATCCAGGAGATCATCCCCCTCAAGGACCGGTCAACAGCAGGCCAGCTCGCAGCTCTGGGATTACAACCACACCCATATCTTCGGGGGCGCCGGTGCCGGCTGTGCCCTGAATGTGGCCAGGCTAAGTACCGGTGAAGGGCACGG